CATCGGAAGCCGGAATTGGCGATGTCCAGGGCTCCCACGGAGCTGTGGCGCTCATGAGGAACAGCGACTGAATGCAAACCTGCGGAGAAATCCAATCGCCAATGACTCTTATGAGTCTATGCATACATATGTATGTGTGTGCATATATATATATATATGTATATGTATATATATATATATGTATGCTATGTGTATATGTGGGTATGCGTCAAAATAGGGGGAATTTTAAAACTGTGGTTCTCCTCTTGGCATCCCTTTAACACACACACACCCACCCACCCACCCACCCACCCACCCACCCACCCACCCACCCACCCACCCACCCACCCACCCACCCACCCACCCACCCACCCACCCACCCACCCATATAATTATAGATGATATAAGACATATGCTTCACTTTGAGTCAGCATCAGAATGCATCCTAACTCTACCTCAGTGTTGCGGTCCATTGTGGCCATGTTTCCGGCTTTCCTCCTCCGGCAACAAGTGTGGCTAAAACTGCAGTACACGGAGCTCCCACGCTTGGTTGCGTACGGGCGAAGTCTGAGAAATCAACCAAGCAACGAAAACCCATGTTGGGCGGGCTCGAACCTGGTTTTGGCAAGCCAAATGGAGACTTCCTGAAAATCAAACGGAGCCTGTTTGTGGCAAGGTTGCTTTTGGGAAGGCCCCCTGCTTAGAGCCTGAGTTGGGTTCATTATAATTCTCGGGTTCAACACACACACACACACTCTCACACACGCGCACGCACATGGACAGCCCAATTCACCAAAGGTGGTCCTGAACACGAACAAAAAGGAAATTATCCGAATGGGGTGGTTACTGCCAAGAAATCTGGAAAACTTGGGTGTTTCCCGACTGTTGCGCCCACACGCAGTCACCAATGTGTCCGCAAGTGAAGATGCAAATCACTTGGTTTGGCAACTGCCCCCCGATTCCCCAATTCTCAGGGATTGCTATCCAGGAGTGAATTCAGCTATGAATTTCTGGGCAGGCATGACACCAAGACGCCCTGCAGAAAAAAAAAAAAAACCTAAAACACACACACACACAAAGTGGATACAAATGTCCAAGAGGCCCCAACCCAAGACAGCCACAGCCCGAAGCCCCGAGGTTCTGCCTGCGCCACGTCCCCCACCACCTTCTCCAGGCCTGGCCATTCACATGGCCGCCACAAACACGACTCGACGCCGCTAAGCACGTGCCGACTTCCCCAAAACCACCGGAACTTTGCTAAAGGAAGAGCTGCCGAGGTGGCGAACTCCATGCAAAAAGTCTCATGGACTGAACGTTCGGACTCTCTGCGAAAGAAAACCAAAAAAAGCGAAGCAATGGTTGCTCCTGTGACTGCTATTGGAGCTGTGCCATGCGCATTAACCACAGCCCTTCCCACTGGGTTGCCGCCGACGGGCATTCCCTTACACTACGCGCATCGGGACTTCGAGGACGATCACCAGGCAGTATCTCTATGAGAAACAGAGCCTATCGAAAGGAACACACTTGCGATGTTGCGAAGGACTCTTCGAGCAAAATGTGGCCCTTGCATACCTCAACATGTTCACACCACAGCTCTGAAATTCTGCTAGCGGCATGAGGAACTTCTGACACGCGTTTGCCAGAAGGATTCCCAGAATAGAACCTCACAGCAATTCGGCAGAATCTCTTGACACCTCAGATCCTTCCTGGCTTCGGGATTGCCAGGCGGGAGGAATCTCCCAAACACCGCCACCAAACTCGTCAATCGGGGCGCATTGTCCAATTAAAAGTGGAGTGTCCTGTCAGTACTTTGGTCTCCTAGAATTAGATCAAAGTATGATCGAGCGCGAAGAGGGCAATATTTCATTGGTTTTGCGGCCGGGCCGATCCCAAGACCCCCTCAGTCTAGCCTTGCTAGCGCAAGGACGAACTCAAGCTAGCCTCCCTGAACCTACCTTTCGTGATATGGGTATGGGTCAAAATTAAACCACCAGGGGACCGCAGCTTTTCGTCCATGTTTCCTTCTACCATGGATACCCAAATGAGCGCATCTCGCACGCCCCGAGATCGCAAAATTCTTGGGTCGCCGGGCCCACGAGGCTTGCGGAGGACCGGAGGGTCACCGGCTTCGCCTGGGAATGGTTTCAGTCACTCCCAAGAGGGAAATGCTGGAGAGGTGACTAAAATGATATGGCCATGGGTCAAAATCCAATCGTGCCCCCAGTGAACAGCCCAATCCCCACTAAAATAGACTCACCTACCCCAAATGGTACCATTGGTCTTGACCCACAGTTGTAGACCCCGAGGCAGGTTGATTTAGGCCCATCCGACAGGATGCCACAGAGCTCTAGGAGTCTGCTGTCTTCCGAGGCTTCCCCTTGCCATGGGTTTCTAATGCATCCTTCGCACACGCACGACTTGAGTCCGGGCCTGGGGAATTGGATGAGTTCCACTTAGGTCTGAATAGAGACTTTGCCAGGAGCAAAACGCTGCAAGAGGCTTGGAGGGAACCGTTCAAGGCAGTGTGTTTGCCCTCTTCAAAGTCAAAGACACAATTCACAGTGACATGTCGAGTTGAAATATGAGTTTGGAATTCAACAATTGAGCTCTAAGTTGCGATTTTGCAATCGATTCAACATTGTCTCCAAGAGGCCGCTCATAAGTAGGCTGGGGCTGCCCGAGGGGCCCAAGAAAACTCAGAACATAGGCCAACATCCTGGGCACATGGTCGCGTTGCGGCCAAACATGGATGGAAACGGGAAACTCCAACCAAGAGAAACTTGTCCGGGCGGAGTGCGCATTCTGAACAGTATTGGCATTCGCAGCACGCTGTGGTTTGTGGTGTCAGAAGTCTTCCATCAGGCCCACCGGAGCGTGGTGGCAGGTGCGGCGGGTATATGGCAAGAGGTGGCAATGTTGGGTGCGGGTTCTCGAGAAGTCCATGGCTTTGCTTTGGAATATTGCTAGATGATTCACCCTGTGTCCATACGATACGACAGTCAGGACGAGCACAATTCTGCACCATATAATGATAAGGGCACGCTGGCAAAAATATCGCGAACCTTCAATGTGTGATCCTTCCGAAAAGGCAAGTACATGGTCCCGTGGTTGAATTCAATCCAAGCAAGGACAAACAAAAGCGACATACCGTGAATCCTGATAAGGAACCCTCAAAGGTTGTTGGACATACATCCCCATGTAAATGATGTCCTGCCAAGGGTCCCCCAATTGAAATTCACGCCCATATAGCTGTGTGAAATTTGTTGAGGTACCCCTTCCTTGTGATTTTCAGGAAAACCCCCAAAAAAAAACAGCCAACCCCACCCACCCACCCACCCACGCACCCACCCACCTAACCCCCCCCCCCGCCCCCCCACCCAAGCCGCCCCCCCCCCCCCCCGGAGCCCCCGGCCACGGGCAAATCCGAGGCGTCCGGGTCGAAGGGCACCACCGAGCGCACCGCCGTGTTCACCAGCTGCGGAAAATATCCGCGGCGCGTCTCTTGGAAGAAGCTCCCGCCCTTGTCTTTTTTGGGGAAGTGGTTGCAAAGAAGCCAAAAGGAAACCACGCTGTTATTTGATTCGTTTATTTGTTTGATGTGTTATCTTTGTTGTTGTGTTGCTTTGTTTTGTTTTTTTAGGGGGGGGGGTTGGCAAAACAAGGGCAGGGACGTGAGCGCAGAACAATGATCCAAAAACCGTTGTTTGTAGGAAATGTCTTGCTTGCAAAATGACACCCAGCGCAAAGAGAGCGGGAATGATTACAAAATCATGATCCACTCGGAAGATTGAGATCGGCCATTTGCCAGGCACGAATAGATGTGCAAAATACTGCTTCCTGCATTGAAGGGCAAACGTTTGCCTCAAACCTGGGTCTGCCCTTCTGCACGGGCAAAGGCAGAACCCCTCTCGAGGGATGGCTTGTTTTGGGCAGGCGGCACTCAAAATGCAATGACCATGCACGCCGGCATTGACATCGAATCCCACTGCGTGTGCCGCAAAAGAACGTTGATGCCCCACCGAGGTGAGGTCTTTCATCACCGGCTCAAGCACTCCAACCGCAGCTCAACACGGTAGGTTCTCCAAGCATCTAAGTAAGCAAACGAGCAAGCGATCAATGCGAAGGAAACAATCAGACTGGGAAGTAAAGTGTCGGGAAGGAGAAAGGCGAAGCAAGCTAATATAAAGGCAAACCAAACGAAGAAAACAAAAATGAGGGGAAAGGAAAGGAGAGCAAGGCAAGAAAAACATGCGCATTGAAGCCAAGCAGAGCAGTGCAGAACACATCAAAAACAAGCAAGCAAGCGAGCGAGTGAGCCAGCGAGCGAGCGAGCGACCGACCAACCGACCAACCATCGAACCAGCGAACCAACCAATAAGGGAACGAGCGAACCAACTATCCAACGAACCAACTTCTCACCGACCCAGCACAAAAAGGACACCGAACAAAACACAGTCAACAAAAGGCGACTGAGCACAAAAAAGCACTACTGTGACAAAATGGCAGGCCGTCCAAGTGACCAACTGTCCAAACTCGAGGTGCCCTGGTATCACAGAAGTGAAGTCTCCCAACCCTCATTCTCACAACCCTGGATCGCATCGTTCTTTGCAGGAGTGGGCTGTGCTTCCCTGCGGTTGATACCACAATTACCTTCGAAGGCAAATATCCTACCTGCACAAGATGCACTCCTCACTTTATTCCAAGCCGACAACTCGCTGAAGCTGGCAATACATGTTTCCAGGGCAGGGCCAATAGCTCTTTCCAGCAAGACGCAAGCGCCTGGCGCTTACAAGCGAAAGTAAACCGGGGGCAAGGCCGCTGAACATCCCACTCTTTCCGAACCTTGCCTTCACATTGCCATTCCTACCTAAATGTCCCCATGTCAAAGACCCAAGGTCATTGCAGCTCTTTTCCAGCGCCCTTCAATTTTTTATGACCTGGCCCAAAAAGGGACTGACCTGCCGCGGAGTCGGTGTGTCAGCTCACTGAAAAAATAACAACACTTCACCAACATATATATATATGTACATATGTATATATATATATATGTGGTGTATATATATATATATAGTATCGGGCTAGCAGATAGAATATAACTTACTCCGTCCGATCCTCACTTAGAATATATTTTACTCCGAAAATATCCCAAAACATCAGTTAGAATATTTAGGAGCACAAGTGACACTTAGAATAATTCACATTTGCGCAAATCCTTGAAATTTGAACACCCTTTCAGGTGGCCATGCATTCCTCTGGTAAATGCGTGTGTCTGTCTTAGGGGGACCCCTCAAAACGGTTGGTTTCCGTTTGGTTTTGCATATATCCTTGAAAGAGAGACGGACCCAAATGGAAAATCATGGGACCCACATGGTTTGCTGAAAGCCGTTTCTAGAAATATCTTGCAACATGCTAGCAGCTAGGACATTCATCGCAGAGTAGTTGTTCATAGCAGAAACCCTTATTTTGAAATATTCTATCTGTTTGTGGGAGAGGGGCATGGCCCGTCGGGCTGAGCATTTGAGCTCCGAAAACAGGAGAAGCCATGCATTCCTCTGGTAAATGCGTGTGTCTTTCTTAGGGGGACCCCTCAAAACGGTTGGTTTCAGTTTGGTTTTGCATATACCCTTGAAAGAGAGACGGACCCAAATGGAAAATCATGGGACCCACATGGTTTGCTGAAAGCCGTATATAGAAATATCTAGCAACGGGCTAGCAGCTAGGACATTTATCGCAGAGTAGTTGTTCATAGCAGAAACCCTTATTTTGAAATATTCTATCTGTTGCTTTCCGAAGAAAAAAAAACTAACTGTCTTTTTCCTATATATTCTAACTCATTTTCTTGATAGACTTTTGACATGTGCATTTTCATTTACTCTAAAATATATATTCTATCTGCTAGCCCGATACTATACATAGTTTTGGTCAGTAAGCATATAGATATATATATATACATACCTACGTCTGCAAAATGGCAACAAAGGTTGACGGTTGACCCCCAAGCTATGCACCCCAAGTCCTCCAAGAAAACCCCCGCGCTCGGGGCTCGGGTCCATCGCCTTGAAGTCGAAGAGAACGAAGCCGAAGGAGGGCGGCAGCTCCCCATCGCAGTCGGAGCAGGCGAAGCAGGTGTTGAAGATCATCTGGCACGAGCAGTCGAGCAGTCTGCCCCATTTGCGAGTATACACGTCTATGTACATGTATATATATATATGTATGCAAATGTGTACGTGTGTGTGTGTACATAACAAATAAATGAAGAAATAAACAAAAAAAAAGAAAAAAACATAATACATAATACATACATATATGCGCATGTGACTTCATATGTGGTCTAGTTTGGACAAACAACAATATGTTGTTGGGGGGGGGCTAATTGCGGATCTGGTGTCCTTGGATGCTGACTCTAGAAATCCCATGCCTGCCACATTTGCCACGGATCATCTGAGTTCAAAAAAACACTTTTTTTCAGGGAAATCTGGGACAACATCGTGGCCGGCCAAATAGATCCATGGATTTAGACTTCTAAATCCCGGGATTGAAAAGCATAAATTCCGCACATATCATGTAACCTGCGACTATACATGAAAAGTAGTTCTTCACACATATTCACACATGACACTGGGCTCCGCATGCATCTACAAGCAAGTGACCAGTGAGATGTCTCACAAGCTCTCCTTACGCAGCTTCCTAGGGTTCCAGGCTTGGCCTGTCAACCCATCAAGTTCACAAAAATGCTTCCAAACCGTTTTGGAGGACGCATACTGTTTTTTTTGTTGCATTTCGCCGACAGATTTGTTCCGGCCAGTCTTCTTTGTTGTGGGCATACATAGCCTTGAATCCCAACAAGCAGGACTCACATAAGTCGAAAATCCGACGATGAAATCGAGCTGGAGGAAAACTGGTTGACATAGACCATGTTGTCACGCAGTGGCGTACACTTCTGGACATGGAACCGCCCCAATGGGCCATATGCTTGTAAGTTAAAATCACCGATGTAACGGCAGCAGGTGACACAGCGCCTGGCAGAACACGGCACAGAAGATGACTGCCGCCAGCGACCTTGGCGAATCGCCACTTCGATGAAGGTTTTACATTCAAATCGGGGGGCTTGAAGTTTGTTGGTCGTTGTGGATGCCTTTCATCAGCAGGCTTGCCTCTTTCCAAATGAAGTCGCACATTGAGCGATCTTGTCGACCAACTCTCACCGTCTGAGACTTGAAACCCCCAGTGTTCTTCATTCCCCCCGCATCTGCTCGTCCCTGAAAAAAACATCAAGCAGGTAACTGGGGAGTTCAGCAAACAAATGGGGTCTTGTGCAGGTGCGTGTCCGGGTGTCTGTGTGGAAATACTTTCCGCAAGTACTGAAAGGGACAATGTTTGCAGCTGCGCATTGCAGCGCGATTTCCGCAATGTCGACTTCAAGATGCGCCAATGAAGCCATGCAAACAGTGCGTCCCTCCGACGCTGTACCTGTTGTTCGGTAGTGCGCTGCAGTCAGCAAGTGTTTCCAAGCCATATTATCGCATGCGGATTTCCGTAGTTTTTGTTTGACAGCAACACATCGAACTAAACGTCGGGCATGTCGCCCGGAGCAGGCCCTCATGTTGCTCGCCTGACTAGCAAAGGACTACAGAATGCCAAATTACACCATGCCATCGTAAAAATGAAAGACATGCGCAAACAAAAACTATGTCAAAACAAAACCACCTGGCACCCACATATCCAAGCATGATGTCACAACTGTCACAGCAAGATGGTTGATGTTGGCGCAGCAGTGAGGAAAAAACATTCACCACGTACCCACACTACCTTAAAACAAAAGTGAGCTCTGACTGTCCTATGCCCCACACAGCTGCAGATTCCCCCTGAGCATGACTAACCTTTTGAGGTTTCACTGGCTAAGGTCACAGGAAAGAGCGGCCACGTCCAAGGTAGGTATACCAACCATATGCAATTCTGTGGGATGTGTCCGACAACTTCGCGACATAGCCAAACAAACATCAACACTGTAGCACCCCCATCCGGCAAGTCCCTCAAAATATCTGAGTGTCTGCTTTAGATTGGGGTCAACTATCCAAGGCGAGCTCAAGCCCCAACCTTCATAGCGCCCCCGACTGGCATGTCTGAGTCTTGCCGCTTCGGTGATTTAGCGAGTGCACCACTCCTTCAATGACGACGAATTGCCCCCAACCCCCCAAGCCAAGCGGAACCAGCGCGTATTTCGAAGCGCCCCAGTCCGGTTTCTCTCGGCGGCCGTGCGCCCACCAGAGCGAGGAGCCGCAGTCGCGGGCGATAAAGATGAAGGCCACGTCGGTGTACGAGTCCAGCTGGCATCGGGAGTTTACTTGGAGGGAGTTTGCTTGGTGCTCAGGTAGGGAATGACCCAGTCCGGGTGTTGGGAATGAAACGGTTTGGGGATGCCCCAATAAAGGAAACCATGGGGGATGGACTTTATAGGGGTCATTCCAACTCATTCCCTGCTGAGAACCAGCAAGTTTACAACATTTGCGTGTGTGTTCTGTGAGGGTACCCTTTGTAGGTGGCTTTTTAGATGGTACGCCAAAAGGAAATCCACAGTTGTTAAGGGGTCCCCCTGATTTAAGACACACCCATTTGGGTATGTCTCAAAATTGGTTGAACGCTCAAACTGATTGATTTCCTTTTTGCTTTCCCCAGCGACTTGGAGGGTGACGTCAAAATGTTCGAGGCTTCGGAATCTCAAGCTTCTTGGGGCAAAGGCGAGTTGCGGCTCGGGAGTCTAAACATGAAATGGTTTCGGTGTTCGACTTGTTTCAGCTGTGAGCTGCATTGGCCGATCCGGTTGGCGTGTCTTGGCGGGTAAATCTCCTGTACTTCTCGCAAACAGGCTACAGCGACCCCAAGGGTCCGAGCGGATCGCAAACCATCAAGGATCCTATGCTTGCAAGTCTGGCTTGGGATCCGGAATGCGCATGTTTTTTGAGACCCTCGCGGGTGAGAAACATCTCCCGGAATGGTCAGGGAGTCAGGACTCACAAGCTGGGCATGGCTCAGGGCTCAGGGATCGTCCAACCATACGAGAACGACCAAGCGGCTGTGGTTGGATGATGAGCGTCAGACCCATTCATCTCAACGCGTCAAAGCGGCCCTAGCTTCGCATCTTTGGCCCCTGTGCAACGGGTCGAAAAGCGAGTCCTGCAGGGTTAGCACAAGGGGAAACCTGCAGCTTTCTATCCAGAAGCTGCGACTGCTTGTACCAACACTCTCTGTTTGCAAAAACCATAGAAGTTGACAGTCCTGTATCTCAGTTTCTGCCCAACAGAAATCGGATCTTGAGCAGGTAGTGAACAGATTCCAATCGAAATTCCGGAGCTTCTATGAGGGTGCCCATGTGTCGCTTCATGGAAATGGGGGTTCATCCAAGGGTCCTTCCATGGCGAACCATTCACCGAGCCACCAAATCACATGGGAGAACTCAGTTTGCGTAAGCCCGATACCAAATGGTTCAACCTGGGAGAAAAGTGGCCCAAGACCCACAGCTACCCCATCTGAAAGAAAACACATCCCACCACAATTTGATCAACCCAAGTACCAAATACAAGATCCCCCGCGATTGATCGATTTGGGGCCTTGGATATCGATCCAGCACCAGGCCGTCCGCCGCTGATCCCTTCCCATGCGCCTTCCAGAGCACCGTGGAGGCCAGCGGCCGCCGCCACTTGTCCTGACCCGAAGCAAGACATGAGGCAAAAAAAAGAAGACTGGTATTCAGATCGTCTACGAAGCATGGCACGAATTCAAAGGCTGCACCTTTTTGAGGGTGGGGGCTGTCACTTACTAAGCTTCACTTGCCCGGGTTTTTGATTGGGACCCCAAATGGGTGTGGCTTCTTTGGGAGTTGGTTTCCCCCTTTTTGTTCCTTTGAAGGTTAGCTTCCGTTTGTGGGAGAAATGGACGAATTTTTGCAAACAAACAAAAACACCCAGTCTCCGCAGAGAAAAGGAGCCTGGCAGGAATCCGCCAAAAACATGCTCATCAGTTTGTAACATGCCAAGTATTTGCCCATATTCTTGAAAGGTAAAGGACTCCTCCATATCTGGTACGTTCCAAAAAGCCATTGTGGCCGTCATGCACTGCGGGTCGTGCAGGCCCTGAATGCTAGGTGCTGTTTGCCGCGAACACCCCAGTGGGTTTTTTTGGCTTTGACTACGCGGGGAGGCACTCAACCCTTCGAGCTCACGCGAAAGCTGTGCTTTGTGACTTCTTACCCTTCTCAATCATATGGGTGTGTCTCGGGATAGGGGACCCCCAAAATAGGTGGTCTTCCTCTTGGTTTTCTTGAACTCACAAAAGGGGTACACTCCAAAAAAAGACGAGCCACCCATATATGGCGCGCCGGTCGTCCCTTGAAGAGATCTTCCAACTACCCTCCACGAATCTTTCCGCGCCGCAAAAGGCGGGCTACATGGGCCCCATGCGCCCTTTCAGAGACCCCATTTGGGTTTGTCTCGCAATAGGGGTCGGCTCCTGCAAGAGCTGATGCAACTCCCCTGCCTGGCCCGGCGAAGGTATCTGCGGAGTCTTCTATCCTTTTGGCGGTGGGGGATAACCGGGCTTTCGACCCATAGCCAATTCAAAGGCCACCAACTTCGGGGCATCCTCTTTGACCCAATTGGAAACCAAAGGCGTCCTCTCCCTAGATGGCTGTGGGTCAAAAATAGGCACCCAATTGGAACCGTGGTAAATGGGACCAAGGACTAAAAACCTGTGGTCCCCTGGTGGTTTTATTTTGACCCATACCCAGAGATCTTTCTCAAAACGACGGCCCACAGGGGGTGCATGTTGATCTGGGGAGCAACAGGTTTGTGTTGTAATGAGCTTCTGCATGGATCTGATGTTTAGCAAATTTACCCATGAACCGAACCTGCCCGCTACGCCCACTCTAGAGCGGGTGACTCATCCCTTCTCCCAGTATGGACCAAACTCCCAATCTGTTCAAAGCACCTCGTTTCTCGTACTTTCGCCCCCTCTCTCTCTCTCTCTCTCTCTCTCTCTCTTCCCCCCCCCGCAATCTCTCCCTCTCTCTCTCTCTCTCTCTCTTACAATGTTTGCAGCCCTGAATCAACAAGCCATAGCTGGCCATTGCAGAGGTTGCCACACCACACCCATGAAACAAGCTTGGAGAGGCCGTGCTTGGCAAAAGGCGAACATCAAACGTGCCAGCCCGATTCACATTGGCACACGTATATTCCAGCTGGCCAGCAAGCTCATGCACAACCCAGCATCTGCCACAGATGCAAATAGGACATGTAAGGATTTGCCTGCAGATGCGACGATCTAAGGAGTTGCCGCCAGACAGTGTAGCCTGTGCCGCAGCCAAGCCTCATGAAAGCGGTGGACTTGAATCCCCACCGAGTTCTGATGTCCGCCATATTGGGTCCCAATCAAAATTCCTGATCTCAGCTGTCAGGTGAAGCGGACGTCTCTTCAAGTCTAAGGACCAAATACATGGGTCCTGAAAGGAGTGACTCTCTAAAGACTGGGGTAAGGTGTGGTTGAATCTACTGTTGTTGTTTGCATCGAAACCGAAATGATGCCCTTTCTTGATGACACTTCCCCATTTTGAGATGCATTCAGGCTTCAAGCGAAGCAGCTCAGCAACCTGCTCGGGCACAGGAGCCAGCATCGAAGACGCAAAGCATCGCACAATTCGGTGTGGGATTGGCAATCACTTAGAAGCAGCCGGGATCCTTACATTATACACTTGAACATTGCCTTGTAAATGGTGGTGTCCCTTTATTATGGTGGGAAAAAACATGTTTCAAATGAACAAAATATATCTTTTAAGGAGCCCTGAGCAGCTGCCCACGAACAACGCCAGACATGACACCTTGACTCTTGTTGCCCGACGATTGCTGGCATCGGCTGTCGGGGTTTTGCTGCACGTGTCAGGTAAATGTCTCTGGAGAGATGCCATGGCCGAGAGCCAGGCAAAACCACGTGTCTACGCCAGCACCCAGGGTCCGAATGTGTTCCCGTCAACCGCACAGCCATCGATTCGAACTCATTCCAGGGCTGGATGCATGGCTCGTTCAACCCCAAATGCTCGTTTGGAGCCAGCGCAAGCTCGGTCGGAAGGTCCTTCCATCCCGCCATCCGATTTTGAATCGTCAGCCTTGATACTCTGATGGGGGAAGACAGAAACATGAACCTTGAATTCAAAAACACATAGGACATGTCGTGAGTGCTCTGTCCCCCCCCCCTCTGTCCCCCATTCCCAAAAAGAAAACAAAAGCAAGACTACGGACTGAACGAACCTCATGTTGCTTTCAAATCCTCCATTTTGCTTGTCCCCGAAGCAACAAATAATACTTCCGGAAGTGATAGATTCCCTTTAAAACCAACAGGGGAGAAGAAATATTCTGAAAACGCAAATAAAAGAAATGGAAAAGGCGAAGAGCGATCCAGCCTGCAGAAGACCAAGCCGTTGCACCATGGCCAGTTCCAGCAGAAGCGCCTGCGAATGGCGAATGTGAGGATCCATTGTGGCAGGGAACGAGGGGATCTGGCCATTGCGCCTACCTTTCTCGCTGAAACATCGTGAATGCAAATCAACTCAAACTGCGGATCCTCTTTTGACACCAAAGACTCCTGGTGCCCAAAGCTCTGAACAAAAAAGAAAAAACACACACACAGACATCTGCGAGCGAGCCGTTCGGCCCAGGTTTGGGAGAAAGGCGCTCAAAAAGACGAAAGGTCATTTGGATCAAGAAAGCTTATGGAAAGCAAGCTTCCGGAAGCAAGAACAAGGCAACACCGGCGAATTGAAGTGTCAGGGAGTTTCCCACAGAGATCCGAAATAAGGATTGAGTCTTGATGAGTCTCTCGGCAACGTGAGACACTGGGAACCCCGGATCAATAAATCCCTAGGATTTTTAATAGAGGGTGTCCCCTTTTAATGGGGGTTTGTGACTTTTGGAGGGAACACCCCCCTATTAATGGCAGCGTAGATTAATTGGTTTGATGTGGGTGGACAAAATCCTGCACCAGTTGGGATGGATCAAGCCCTGTGAATGAGGTAAACCACCCACCAGCTTCAGAATATGATCCATCAGTATGCGTCAAATATGAGTGTGTCTCTTTTTGAGGGGTACCCTTTTTAAGGTTGGCTTCAGAAAAACCCAAACGAAACACCGCCGAGTGAGGCCGGGGGTCGGGCCATGACCAACATCGCCAGCACCGTTGCGCCGTACCTCGCAAGCCGCCAGAGGAAGCCAGAGGCCGCGAAAGGAGCAGACCAGTGGAAAAAGTAGACCAAAAGTCAACTCCGGTAACCAGAAAACCTGGAGGCACCCTCTGGACTGCTGGCTGCCCAAGGATCACTTGCGAAGGGTGACCAACACAAAGCTGACAGGTTCCAAATGCATTCAAGTGAGATCCTTGCATTCATTGATTGCAGATCTTGGCAAGAGATTTGTATCAGGCACTGCCGGGTGGTGTCGAACCCTTTCTTTCAAGCAGACAAGGGGCAGCAAGATCGAAGCAGGGTAAAAGTTCATGTCAAAGCAAGGGGACTCGCACTCTTGAGCTCCAAACCACCGAACAGCACGATAATCGCCGCACAACTTCACAAAGCGTCGCATAGGGAGGTTACCGCTGGCAATTCTCTGACAATCTGAGGCCTGATTTCGGTCTTCCCAGCATCCAATCATGGTCTCAGCTTACACAGGGATGCTCGAATCAGGTGCCCTCACCGGGTTGCAGCCTAGCGTCACACAGCCCCGACTGCAAACGGAGGGAGCAAAGGAAACTACAAAACGGTCTTCAACCCTTGCGTTGTCGCCGTGTGAGCACACACCATGCAAAATGAGCTCATCCAGCATCTAGGGTTCCCGGCAAGAACCAGGCCAGGTAGGGCATGCTCGCCTCACACCTGACAAGACCCAAGCTCATGGTGCCACCTTGGGCGTGAGCGTGAGCTTGCACTTGTGCATGCGTGTATGTGTCCTTGCATCTGGTGTGTGGGTGTCTGCCTGTGCATATGTACAGCACATGGATCTTGAACTATCTAGATATACAAATGCGTTGCTACTTCCGCAAAACAGCGCACACCTGAAACTTAAATGTGTGTGTGTGTGTGTGTGTGTGTGTGTGTGTGTGTGTGTGTGTGTGTGTGTGTGTGTGTGTGTGTGTGTGTGTGTGTGTGTGTGTGTGTGTGTGTGTGTGTGTGTGTGTGTGTGTGTGTGTGTGTGTGTGTGTGTGTGTGTGTGTGTGTGTGTGTGTGTGTGTGTGTGTGTGTGTGTGTGTGTGTGTGTGTGTGTGTGTGTGTGTGTGTGTGTGTGTGTGTGTGTGTGTGTGTGTGTGTGTGTGTGTGTGTGTGTGTGTGTGTGTGTGTGTGTGTGTGTGTGTGTGTGTGTGTGTGTGTGTGTGTGTGTGTGTGTGTGTGTGTGTGTGTGTGTGTGTGTGTGTGTGTGTGTGTGTGTGTGTGTGTGTGTGTGTGTGTGTGTGTGTGTGTGTGTGTGTGTGTGTGTGTGTGTGTGTGTGTGTGTGTGTGTGTGTGTGTGTGTGTGTGTGTGTGTGTGTGTGTGTGTGTGTGTGTGTGTGTGTGTGTTTGTGTGGGTGTGTGTGTGTGTGTGTGTGTGTGTGTGTGTGTGTGTGTGTGTGTGTGTGTGTGTGTGTGTGTGTGTGTGTGTGTGTGTGTGTGTGTGTGTGTCGTGTGTGTGTGTGCGCGTGTGTGCGTGTGTCGTGTGTCGTGTTGTGTGTTGTGTGTTGTGTGTTGTGTGTTGTGTGTTGTGTGTTGTGTGTTGTGTGTTGTGTGTTGTGTGTTGTGTGTTGTGTGTTGTGTGTTGTGTGTTGTGTGTTGTGTGGTGTGTGGTGTGTGGTGTGTGGTGTGTGGTGTGTGGTGTGTGTGTTGTGTGTTGTGTGTTGTGTGTCGTGCGTTGTGTGTTGTGTGTTGTGTGTTGTGTGTTGTGTGTTGTGTGTTGTGTGTTGTGTGTTGTGTGTTGTGTGTTGTGTGTTGTGTGTTGTGTGTTGTGTGTTGTG